TTGATTTTGTTTTTGGTTGTTGGATAATTCTCGGATAAAAATACTTTTAATAATATTAATAATCAGACTATTAAAGGATAAAATTTAGCTAGAACCAAGCTTAGCTTTATATAATTTAATCTTAATTGTTAAAATTCTATTGAATTATAATTCAATTTATAATATTTTTTTCATCGAAAGGTTCCGTGAATCGAACTAGAAAATATTCGAACAGTTTTAATGTTCAAAAAACAACAATTATTTATTTCAATTTATTCATTTAGGGAATGGGATTTTGATGTATAACATTGATGGTGATCTTTTTTTTTATTATTATTTAAAAATTATGAATTTCACCAAGGAACAAAATCTGACCGGTTGTTTGATGTCGAATAAAATACAAAAATGGATGATCAAAACGGAAAATTTTTGATTCTCTAAAAGATGACATAAGAGCTATTTGAATATAGGTACTGGCAGCAGCTTCAGTTCCTTGTTCATTGACAATTAATTTGGCTTTATGAATGGCTTCATCGATTTTCATTGATTTATTACCACTGATACCAGAAAGATCAGCCGATTCAGTGAAAACATCTTGAATGCCCATTGATTTTAAGATTTCGGGTAATTGATATGATGTACTGAGTTCAATTTTTGGAAAATAAACAGTTGATGATTGATCATCATTAATTTGGCCAACAATTTCATCAATATAAGATGAATTTAATGATTGACGAATTTTACTTAGATCAAAATTACGTTCACGTGGTAATATACCGTAGAAGGCAACATCTTCACCTTTGTATGGCATTTTAATTAGATCGGAATTCCATTGTTTAATTTCAGCATATCCAAATGGACCTTCTCCATTCATATATTCAACATTTTTATATTCATGACCTTGATGATCATAGAATGAACCTTGTACGGTATTACTTGGAATAAATGGTTTCAACCATTCACCTTTAAAATAAACGGCATTTATCAATGCAAGAACAGTACCGGACGATGGTGGCTGTTCAAGCATACGATCAATTAAACCATGTGTTTTGTTCGATATA